TTACTGGGAGGCGATCGGTCATTACTGGGAGGCCATCGGTCATTACTGGGAGGCGATCGGTCATTACTGGGAGGCCATCGGTCATTACTGGGAGGCGATCGGTCATTACTGGGAGGCCATCGGTCATTACTGGGAGGCGATCGGTCATTACTGGGAGGCGATCGGTCATTACTGGGAGGCCATCGGTCATTACTGGGAGGCGATCGGTCATTACTGGGAGGCCATCGGTCATTACTGGGAGGCGATCGGTCATTACTGGGAGGCGATCGGTCATTACTGGGAGGCCATCGGTCATTACTGGGAGGCGATCGGTCATTACTGGGAGGCGATCGGTCATTACTGGGAGGCCATCGGTCATTACTGGGAGGCGATCGGTCATTACTGGGAGGCGATCGGTCATTACTGGGAGGCCATCGGTCATTACTGGGAGGCGATCGGTCATTACTGGGAGGCCATCGGTCATTACTGGGAGGCGATCGGTCATTACTGGGAGGCGATCGGTCATTACTGGGAGGCCATCGGTCATTACTGGGAGGCGATCGGTCATTACTGGGAGGCGATCGGTCATTACTGGGAGGCCATCGGTCATTACTGGGAGGCGATCGGTCATTACTGGGAGGCGATCGGCCATTACTGGGAGGCGATCGCTCATTACTGGGAGGCGATCGGCCATTACTGGGAAGCGATCGGCCATTACTGGGAGGCGATCGGCCATTAATGGGAGGCCATCGGTCATTACTGGGAGAGTAAGAGGGGACTCCGGGGGAAAGAGGATATTCATAATGGTGCTTGGCAGGAAAGCTGACAATCTATTTCAGATTCTGTCTGTGAAGGTTCCTCCCTCCGGGTCACATGGTATCAGTAAGAAAGCTCCTCCTCCTCATGCTGATATTATTATCACTCTGCCGTGTGTGTTCCCTGCGGTTGGCACGGGACGGGTCACTCCTCACCTGGCAGGGCTGCGCCGGTCCTGGCCGGGATCCAGTGAAGGTTATCCTGTGTTATATCACGAACAATCCTCGGCACAATACCACCATGCTGGGGGCCCGGGGCCAATGACTTGTGACGGATGGAAGCAGCATGATGGGTAGACCCGTCACCGGAGGTTATATGTGCCCAATGGAAGAACAATTCCCCCCCTGAGGGCCCGCGGCCCGGACCTGCTACCGATATCTACAATCAGGTCTCAGGTTTTGTAGACACACCAGACGGAGCTCCCTCTGTACAGACTCCTCCTCCTACTCACATCAGTGAGAGTGACAACGCTTCATCATCTCCTGTGTATAGGAACGTCGTCTCTCTGGGGCCCATTCACACTTGTGCTGCAGTGCATGGCAACACTCCGCCTCTCATCCCTCCGCCCCTCATCCCTCCGCCCCTCATCACCCCGCCTCTCATCCCTCCGCCTCTCATC